TTTTACTTTTTCTATAGTGAAGGAGCATGTAACTTACTAGACAAAGTAAAAGCAGCAAAGACAGTAATGTTCATCAAGCAATCCTTGTATACCACTACAGTGTCCAATTTCCCTTATAATTCAGTCGAGGATGTGCAACTAGTTTTAGCCACTGGCAGTTAACACAAAGAGCTCTGCTAATTTTCAGGCCCTGTGTCTAAAAAGCTGCAACCCTGAACACCATGTGGCATGCTAGCCATCACAGATGGAACTGACCTACATGATAAGCCATTTCTTGGGGCACTGCTAAACTCCAAGAAATAGTGTATGTGAGAGAGACTTTCTTGTGTGAAAGCTACTGGAACTGAGAGTTTGTTAGTTACTACAACACATCTTGGCTTTGAAAAATCAATTAAACCTACATGGGTGCTAATTATAGAATAGCTTAATCAGTCTATCACTGAGTGACCATGGTGAAGTTAATGATTGGCAAAGAGTTTGGGTAGAGAGTAAAGGAAAGGGAGTTCTTGGAACTATAAGGAGAAAGGGGGTGTATTTCAGAGGCAAGTAACAGTTTGAGCCAAGCAAGAATTTTAAAATAGCACTGTCTGATCAGGAAGCAGATTCCTCCAGAAAGAGGTATTTCTGTCAAGTGTTATGTGAACTGCTTCACTTTCTGGCTGCTTATTAACCTAACCTAGATATGCCCTGCCAAAAGCCTGGTGATCAATGCTTAGGGCAAGAGGCTTTCTTGAGTAAACACTAGAAAAGGATGTAAAATGTCTACCCAATTTTCTATTTTTAATTTGTGAGGTATTAACCAGGGGTTTAGATGAGGTTTTTTATCACACTTGTCCACCATCTATCTAGCCCAAGCTCTAGTGTCCACAGGGACTAGACCAAACCCTGTATAATCTCTCCTACCTGCTGCTTCTAGATCTAAGACTACAGTGATCCTCAGGGCTCAGATACCATGGTACATTACATTTTACTCATTCTTCTTTGCATGGATTTGGTGGTCTGTCTACCTGCTTATCAATACACCATGTCTTTCTAAGGACAAAATAATAATTATCTATAATTCTTGTAACTGAGCCAAACTGAAGAGATCACCAAGGAGACAGTTATAATAAATGTGATGGATGCTATGATGAAAGTAATTATAAGGGCGGCCAGGATTATTGCTCAACAGCATGGCACCTGCCTGGCAATGTAAGGCCCTAAGTTTGATTCCTGGTTCCAAGAAAAGAAATTATAAGGAGCCAGAGTCACACAAAGGACTGTCAGATGAAGAAAGCTCAGAGACTGAGAATGTCAGAAAATATTCTTAAAAGAAAGGGCAACATTCTCACAAACTATTAAAAAAGTGAATATAAGTTTACCAAGTAAACAAAGACACTAAAATAGACAAATTATACTTAGATATTTAAACAGGAAAAAAGTTGGAGAACCATGAGTAAACAGAATTGTACTACGGGTTGGGGAGTGGGAATAGTGGTAAAAATAGGGCTAAAACAATGGATTGGAACATTGTACGCCACACTGGAAAGTGCGTACATATTCTGTTAGAAACAGACAACAGTAAACAAAAGAGCAACATAGTCACACATGCTTTTAAGAGATTTTTAAAGATCATTTTAGAAATTATGTAGGAGTAAGATTAAGAGTAGAATGTTGGAAAATTTTTGAAATGGTCCTAATAAAAGACAATGAGATTTATTACCAGTAACATTTCTGCATGAGAAGATTTGGGCTCTACATATCAATGGAACATTTCAGTGAGTGCACGGATGAAAGAATTTTAACTAGGACTAAAAATATAGGAAAGTGCTAGGACTAATGAAGTTCAGTTTTAGATATATGTGTATTAGGTCATACAAAACACCTAATGGAGAACAAGTAAGAAGACAAGAATTCTGTATTCAGAGTTTGGAAAAGATGGCACGTGTAGAGAAGTCTTATCTCCTTGCAGTAAAGACTATAGCCATAGCCAGAGAAAATGATCAGATCTTCAAAAGATAGCATGAAGGATATGATGGATGTCAAATAAGAGAAAAAGATCAAGAAAGTTCACCTTAAAGTGTGTTTACCAGTAAGATCTGACAATTATACGGCAGAATGGAAGGTTCTTTTTGTCTTCATTTAATCTCTTGATTAGTCTCTAATTCTGTAAAATTACTCACTCTTCTCCATTTCGCTACTCATTTCTACAGTATTGAGTAAAGGTGGCATATTCCTTTTTGGGGAAACTTTCCCAGCTATCCAATATTTATCACAACATAACCACTCCTACTTGGCATAGCTCTCTGGCCTATAAATATCTTCTTGACTCAAGCTAAACCAGTCAGAATCCTTTTGTCTCTGGCGAATATAGTTTGACAGTGTTAAGCACTGGAGCTATAAAGCTGGGGTGAATTTCAAACTACCTATGACTTATGTGGGAACCCAGACAATGTAAACACTAGAGTTTGCTCTGAATTGCTACCATTCACTTGCCTATTAGAATGGATTTCTCAAAGTTGAGTTCTCCTGAAATGATACCTCACCTGCCACCATATAAAAGCCCAGTTTAAGCAAACCATGTCTCCAGCTCCTAAAGTGTCTTCCTCTAGCTCCTACCCTCCTCATACCCACATTTCCCCAGATACTGTGACAGTTATGGAAAAGTACATTGCTGAAACTGCTGCAAGCAGTGATTCCTGGATGTCAAACTAAACAGCTACAAAAATATTAAGCAATGTGGAGATTCCTGGCAGACTACCCAACAGTCCATAAAATTTCATTTGCCAATGGCCTCAAAAATAGCATCTATTCTACTAACTCACATCAGACGCCCCAGCCTCACACTCCCCAGTTACTGTTTATTCAAGCACAGGGATGGTGAGTATGAGCACAGAATGCCATGACTTCCAACTCTCAGAGGACAGCTGCTCGAGAAAACTGCTGGTGCAGCTCTCACGTAGATCCCTCTTCTCCGGAAGACAAGGCCCCTTTATTACAAGGGCTACTCAGACAATCCCGATTTTGAAGGGAAAAAAGAGAAGCCTCGTAGGCAGGTTCTTATTTCATACCACTAATTAACTGACTATGAGAATTCAATGTCACTGTTCTCTTCAAAATCTTAAACAGGAAAGGACATGAAGAGAAGCCAGAGAAAAGGCACAGGTATGCAAAACAGAGGGAAAAGGGGGTCAAGGTGAGGATGCAAAGAAAAGACAGAGAATGAAGAGTGCAAGGGAAGCTGATCTAAATTCCAAATTGCAAATGTAATAAGAGGTTCACAAAAACCTTTATCCTGCATTACAATGAATTATGTAACAAAGCTGAGAGAATGGGGCTAGTTTTTAATGGATGATATCAGAGTAACCAAACATTATCTTTAATCGACAAGTCAGGAAGAGTCTTTTATTTTTTGTTACCTCATTTTCAAATTTTATGACCCAAATGTCTCATCTTACAAGAGGGGCCCTCTATCTGAAGGGGTCATGGCCTGAGAACTTCGATATCTGACAGCTTCCACGGGGAGTGAGCAGGGGTGTTCCCAGGAATACCAGGTTCTCTCCTGGCACTTCAACACATTTGCAGCTGAAAACATTTGGTAGTTGCTAATTTACTCAAACTCAAGTATTTCTGCCTTAAAAACTATTAGAAAACTTCTCTTTTTCACAGAAAGAAGCGGTATGTGATGGCTTATGAGGAGTAGGTAGAGGACTGGACATTTGACACATCACCCTCAGGGCTAATTCCCATGACTGGGAGCACAGTCCAGCGGAAAGAAGAAAGCAAAGGCTGGGCTCCCTGCATTTAGATCCTAGCCCTACTGACATTCTGTGCCTTGGTTTCTCAACAGTCTAACAGGAACAGCAACGCAGCCAACTTGACAGAACTTTTGTAGCACTAAATGATTTAATAATGTTAATGTGTTTACTGGACATGATGCAGTTATCTAAAAGTACAAAAGCTGAGTGCAATTATTATCCTTACTTCATATAGAAGAAATTAAAATTATAAAGTTTTATAAAACTTAAATAAAAAGTTTAAATAATTGGGGTCCAAAACCACCCAGAAGACAATTGAGAAGCCAGAACTGACTAAGACTATAAAGTGCACAGCATTTATTGTCACAGTAAAACAACTCATCTACAAAGTACACTGAACTAATGATCAGGAACAGACATTGGGTATAATTCACTCTTCTACCCTGCTATACCAGGAACTCCAAACTGTTCCTACTGACTTTTTAATACGAAAGTTAGAATTGTTAAGAGCTTCTTAAGTCATACTTATGTATCATTTTAAAGTTTGGTGCTCATTAACTTTTCTATCCACATTACTTCCAGATGATAAAATCTACAAAAATACAGTACAGGACCATGTCTTTTAAAAATCTGACTTTTTATGCTTGGCAAGTGCAAGGTCCTGAGTTCAACCCCTAGTATATAAAAAAAAAAAAAAATCCAGGTTAGCTCAGCGGCATAAGCACCTGCCTTGCAAGCACATGGTCATGAGTTTGATCCCTGGTACAAAACAAAAAAAATCACCCTGACTTTTCATGATAAAATCCTAGATTAAAAAAGCAAGTTCTTATCGTACCCTGGCACCACAGTAATCATCACTATGATCTCATTGGAACCTCCAATAATCCTCTAATTTACATTGTGAAGATGACCAAATGAAAGGTCAGGATGTTTATATGTAAATTCTTCCCAAGCTCAGGTAGCCAGCAAATAGCTGAGCTAGGATTTCAACCATCTCTGCTTGATTCTTCACTACTCTCTCATATTCTACTCTTTGAGACCTAAAGAATATGCTAACTGCGGGATTACTTTATGCTCTTTACACATTCCAACTCTTTGAGGCAGGGTTGTGGTATTTATACAAACACATGGCTCTGCTGGTCCTTAAAGAGATAATAAAATGGGTTTACAAAATAGAAGCTACAAAAGTCTAAGTGCTAAGTTGTACCAAGTTGACAAAGATAACAGTAATAATGTACAATTTTCTATCTTACAACCTTGTAGACCATTTCTGACCTTTTGACAGAGGTAAGAGACAATGCTGTCTCTTTCACTTCACAATGCTGAGGAAGGTGCAGAAGCAGGCTGACCCCGTCAGTATTGGGAAGGACTGTTCCGACGATGGAAGGAAGGAACTGACATGGAAAGATGCTGCAGCACCAGGCAGGCAAAGCACAACGCAGGTACTCAGTTAATGCAAAGATTTTAGCTCTTGCAGGTGACCAGGCCTAGCACAGAGAATGGCACACAGGGCCCTCTAACAATGTCCACTGAAGGAGCAAACTGAGAGAAGGTTCTGTGAGCTCATTCCTCTAACAGCACTCATTTTTCTACAATGGCCCATTTTCTGAACTCAGTTCTGAACTAAACTATTCTCTGTTTCCCTTCCTCACATTATCCAAAATAATTCAATGTCCATCTTCTCCTCTGGGAAAATCAAAGGTTGACATGGCTGCCTTTTGAACTCAAGCTGTTAAAGATCCTTTCTTGTGTTCAAAAAGTTTTACTGATTTTGAAAGGTCTTATTGATAAAACACAGAGAAACTCAGGGGAAAAGGACAAAGAGAAAGGAGAAGAAAGAAAAAGAATAAAGAGATCAGAAAAGAAAGAGAAGGGAAAGAGCCCAAGAGGAGCACAGAGAGGCAAAAGGCTACTGAATGCATAATTGCCAACCAACTCCTGGAAGAACCATGGAGCACTATTTTTAAAAACTGTAGGGAAAATATTTACATAAAATCCAAAGAATATATGTTCTTTGTTGAATGCTAGAAAATGACAATGTATTCATTTCATTACTTCATAAATTAGTCTATGTGATGTTTACTTGTGGCATCATTAGTAATTCCAAGCTAAATATTTATGAAAGGAAGCAAGCAAATTAAAAATTAAAGGTAGAAGAAAATCTTTCTACTTCAGTTTTGTTGCTGTTTATTTGTATTGGGTATATTTGTACAGTGGTATTTAGGGTTAGGATTAATGAAATGAATGACAAGACACCATCCCAGACCCTCCTGAGGATCTTCATTTCTAAGGTACATAAACAACTCAAACAAATTTTAAACAGTTTAAAAAAAAAACACAAAAAAGAGTCATAAGATTTTTAGACAAATTGTACTTAAAAATGAGAGCTTCAAAGGGGATATGTTACAATAAACACATATTAAGAGTAAACTGGGCCTTAATTATGTTTAACAAGTTTTATGCCCTCATTAAAAACAGAATCCCAACAATAAACATAACTTACCACCAGAATTAATTCTGCCACAATTGTCTACTCTTCCCAAGCATTCTTTATGTGCTCTTGCTCCACATTTAAAACATAAATAGCCTTGATAAAATGTTCCTCTGAAAGGTAAAATTAGAGAGTGATATATTAAAAGGTGCTAAATTCTTCCCTATGAAATCATTAGCTCAGAAGGGAAAAATGTATTGCAATGTTTATTAAAGTGCCCTCAGCGGTGGAGGGGGTCCTCCCAGGAACCCATGAAGGGACTTCCCAATCCACAGCCTAGCAAAGATCAGCTGAGTACAAACCAGAAAGGCAAGATGCCCATGTCAGAAAATTTTGGCTAGAACACTAGACAAATCTGCAATTACACTAGTTCATATAAACTGAAAAACAGGCTTGAGCATGCTCACCTCAGGAGCATCTGGCAGACTTTGCAGGATGTCACCCGAGTGAAGGTGTGCATCTTGAAGTCATGGAAATTGGAATCTGCATAGTCTGGCCTTATGTTAGATCTGTGAAAAGAGAAAAAGTCACTTTTTTAAAAAAGTTTCAAAACAAAGCAGTATTCTCTGTACCTAACAGCTAAATTCATCGAAACTGCATTGGGTAAAGATCTGACTCAAGCAAAAAAAAAAGGTTAAATATGCAGTGGTTTCCATACCATTCATGAAAGCATACATCACACTGGTTGTGTGAGAACCCACAAAACAAAAAGACACAAGCCACCTAATCCTGAGAATTGAGTGATACCAGAGAACTCTGCAGCATGGTCAGCCAGATCTACCTGCTGGAAAGACACACAAAAACTGCTAGATATTCAAACCCTCTGATAGTTCCCTTTCTCTAGCCACATTACTAATATGTAAATTAGCTAGTGAATCTGGGAGGGCTTGGCAAAGTCCAGAATTTGTCTCTAAATAGGTGTGTGGATTATGGTCTACAACAAGGAATAAAATAATTTTAGAGAAAGTTTTCAATCAACATACCAATTATTAAAAACTCTCAGCAACTTACTTTCTTTGCAATACAAGAAAAAGGAAACAATATTATTTTATTTTTTACATTTGGTTTATTTATAGTACATGTATGTACAACCATAATTATTATGCATAGCCAAACTAATATTTATTATGCATATTCTCTATACTGGCTATTGAGACTACCACTTGATGTGTGTTACTTTAATTTGCACTTTAATCCTAACTGCCTGGCACTAATAATAACATTAGCTCACAAACAAGGAAACTGGGGTTACTCTAAACTTTGCTCTAAAGTTTATAGTGAATAAAGAACTCAAACCCAGGCTTCTGCTTTTAGCCATTCAGCAATATTCACATTAAAATAGCTAAACTTTGTGTTTGGTAAGTATGTGGGAAGGAGTTAAATTCAATGTTTTATAGAAGGTATTTTGTAATTTTCAACTTAAACATAGTACAGAGAAATTAGAATAGGATAAGTTAAAGAGGGATATGAATCAGAAATACCCCTAGAAAGCTAAGACAATATACTCTAGGAAGTTAAGCACTATTTGAGAGATTATAGAAAAGTTTGAGATACTGATGAGCTAGGATTTCCCCTTTTATAGAATACAGCAACTCTCGAGCACACTGAGTCTCAGCGTAATGAAGCATAGCACAGGCGGGCAACCAGGCATCAATCTCTGAGGTACCAGGAGAAGCCTTATGAAAAAACATTCACAAAGGCAATTGGAGTAGCAGGCAGTGATGCAGAAGTGTCAGAGAGGTCAGCCTTCCAATCCATCTGCTGAATATGAGCGTGCTAAAAATGAAATCAAATATTAGTGCCATCTGGGATTTCGCTGTTCTGTGCTCCTGGTGACCTCCCTTTTTGGAAAAATGTTCTGCATGCTGAAAAGTATGACCACTGACAAATACGCATTTTTGTGTTGTTAATTAAAAATTACAGAGTACTTCAATAAGAGAGCAGAAGAAAAAATATACAGATCTAGAAACAAAAGATTCATCACATTGTTCATAAAATATTTGATTCCTGAATCTATAAAGCTATGCATTGAAAAGCACATCAAGACCCATTTCCTTAGCCTGGAAGGGCTGTTGTTCATTTTTCTCAGAGCACGCAGGTGATAGAGGCATAGATGAATTGTCAAGTAACAGTTTTAGTTCTAGGAACTTGAAGAATTGGAACTTGTAGTTTTTAAATAAAAATAAGTCTCCAGACTAGGACTTGTATAAGTAAGTCCCAAACAGGTAAAAATTAATTAATTTCACCAATCTGCTTTGGATATAGGTATGACATCTATTCCTTGGAGCCAAGATATTTGTGCATACAAAGATCTAGGTGTACTTACATATATGGTATCTATCAGAGTTCTGTTTGAACCATTTGTATTTAAAATTTGTACCAATTAATCAAGAATAAGCTGACTTCTCTAAAGACAAAAACTGAAAGGAGAATCACAAACACACTATGAGACTTACAAAAAAATGATATGATTAAAAAACTCTGAAAATATTGTTAACAGTATTTGCCTTAAGGGAAATGAGACTTGAAGTGGCAGAGAGGAACTATTATAAATTTTTTAAAATTATAACTTCATATTATTTTTTTAAAAACCCTTGAATCAAACATTAAAGAATAAAAGTTAACTTTATGACCCCTGAACTGCTACTGAGGCACTATTGAATATAAAAGCATAATGGTGGGCAGGAATTTGAAATTAGACCGCCAGGGCTTAAATCCTAACTTGCAAATCAGTAGCAGTATGACCTTAGGCAAGGTGGTAAGGATAAAACAGAAATACTAATAAAACCAAACTCAAAAAGTGAGGTAATGTATATAAAGTTCTTAGAATACTGCTTGACCTAGAGCTGGTGTTCAATAGGTGTTGACATCATTTATGAAATGCTGAGGCGAAATCCACAGGACTGACATAATACTTTACGAGTGGTACAGTACCTAGGTAGGATGCAACCAAATCTCTAGAACCTGAATTTCCATTCACCTGGCAATTCCCAGCAAGAAGACTGTTATACACCCAGGATCCTTGGAACCTGGAATCCACACGTAATTATTTATGTACTTGAGGAAATGGAGCTGCTCAGGAAGAGTGGGTATGGAAAAGCCCCAGGGAACAGAAGTCATACCAAATGCCAATTGAAGGGAAAAGAAATGTCAACTCACATATAGCCTGTAAGGACACAGATACCAAAGGCAGTGAACTGACTGATGGGAAGAACAAGAAAGGGAGATTGACCAGTAAAAGACAGAGAATGATCAAGAGTACAGACCTGGAAAACACTAGGCTGAGAATGATCAACCATGATATTTGTTGCACCCTCCATTGCACCAGGCACATTGCTAGGCTCATCCCATGCTTTTTCACATATGTTTTCACAATAAATCGAGGCAGACACATTTCATAAATGTAAGTAGTTACCATACAGGCAAGCCTCAAGGCAAGACAGAAACAAGGATACTGGGAAGCACGACATGAGGAGAGGTTGCTAAGGGCCAAGGAAAGAGTGAGATTTTATACAAGGGATGACAATATATTTATTGTCAAAATATCACTAATTACTGTGTAGAGAATTTTTTGCAGTGAAGCAAAAATGGACATAGAAAGACTAGTTACCCCACAGATGAAAACTGGAGAATGAATAGGTTTGAGCTCACTTGCCAATTATGCAACTATTTCTAACAAGTCCCGTTGCCAAAAGTAAGTGACAACTTATTTTTGAAAATTTGGATGGAATCTTACAGATTTCTCAGTAAAATGTTTCCATTTCTTTTGTTTCACAAAGGACCCCATTTTTGTAAAAATAATCAGGCAATCAAATATTTATAAAGCAAGTTGTGTCAATACAGTTACAGCTTCTTACAACTTTACAGATTCTCTTGAGATGGTCCCAACTTTCCATCTGGCTTCACTGGTGCCTGTAAGGTAGGACCATATGTTTCCTACTAGTGGAGATACGCTTCTCACTTTGTATATCTACGTTCCCAAGTGCAACTCAAGCATCTCAAATGTAGCACACAAAAAACTCAACTTTCATGACTTTCCTGAAATTTCTCCCTCTTTCAATCTAGAAAATTTGATAACTTTTCCTCTCCCTCACATTCTCTGCACATTTGCATTCCCTCTCCAATGTTCTAATATCTCCTTCCCTGAAACTGTGACTAGTTTGTCAATTCAACCCTAAAAATACACCTTGATACCCTAGATTACATGCACACACATACCTACCACTGATTCTGTTTTTCTACAGCACACTGACTATTAAAGAATATTTGATAATAATAGTGTTAGGCTTAGTAGGAACAGTCTGATGCCAAACTAAATACATCTGCTAGGCTTTTACTTACTTTGCACAGGTCGAAAGCACATCACTATATAGCATACAGGTACTTGTTTGTATGCCCACCTCCCTGTGTCTGCTGTTTGAGGGCAGAGACCCTGCTATCTTCCTTATAATCTATGCCCTCTACAATCATCAAACATTCCATAAAGAACACTAACTGCAGATGATTATGGCGATAGAAATCAGGTCAATATATTTATAATTTAGTGTAGCATTTTCCTCGTTTATTTTCAAAATGCTGCTCTGTCAAAATATCAAATAGAAAGAAGAGTAAAGAAAGATAAATATGTTGTTATTAAGTAAAAAATTCTACCACTCACATGAAAGAAAACTAAAAGAAACCCCATAAGTATTACTGAATTTCAATTAAATGCTGTAACCTTTATTTACTTGTATCTTCTCTTCTTTGTAAGAAAATATTTCTTCATACCAGGACTATAATGCTACTCATAAATATTTATAGTAACTATGAACAGTAAATTAGTAATACACATTATTTTAAAAGTCTTATTTCAAGAGAACATTTTCACTGTTTTAACCATAAACTGTAAATCCTGATAGCACTTTACTATTTTAAAACAGCTTTAGAATTCAGGATGTAAATGTTATTGGAACTGATTATGACCAGTTACAGAGGAAACAAGATGAAAATTCATATATGGTATCACGTTACTCTTGCCCTGCTAGTATTAGTAGTATTTAAAGATAACCAGCACAGATATTTTGAAAATTATACAAAATACATAATATAGTTATTTTACCATATTGTAGTGAAAGTAAAGGTGAGAGAGATGGAAGCAGATGTCAGGTCCTAAAATTCCGTCTGAATGCAGTAAGCTGTTTTGTGTAATGAAAACAGACATATAAAATGTCTGTGTGTGTTCACTACTGAAAGTCAGAAGATATACATTCTGCTCTTTAAGGAAATGCATTCTATTAATTATTTAATGTCTTGATTCTTAAAATAAGGTTTTAATGTGATAAATATATTCATATTAAGAACCAACAAAGAATTAGATAATCTCAATAGATATGCAAAATGACATGCAATAAAAAGTATCATGTGCTTCTGATGAAACCCTAAATAAATTAGCTGTTGAGGAATAGCTCCTTAACATGATGAAGAATATCCAACTGTAGACAAATGAGAACATACCTAATGTATAACAGTT